AGCTTGTGGACTGTTGAGGGCATATATAATTTCATTAAATTTTTTAAAGATCTTTATTGAAGTATAATTTATATGCCAAAAATTTCAGGTTTAATGTACACAACTTGATGGATTTAGACACATACAAGTACCCGTAACACCATCGCCACGATCAAGGTAATACATATACCCATCAGCTGCAAAAGATTCCTTGTGTCCTTGTGTTGTGTGTGCCCACAGCACTTGGGATCTGCCAGTGGACAGGACTATGAGTGCACAGCACTCTGCTGTCAGCTGTGGTGGACAGGACTATGAGTGCACAGCACTCTGCTGTCAGCTGTGGTGGACAGGACTATGAATGCACGGTACTCTGCTGTCAGCTGTGGTGGACAGCACTATGAATGCACAGTACTCTGCTGTCAGCTGTGGTGGACAGGACTAAGAATGCACAGTACTCTGCTGTCAGCTGTGGTGGACAGGACTATGAATGCACAGCACTCTGCTGTCAGCTGTGGTGGACAGCACTATGAATGCACAGTACTCTGCTGTTAGCTATGGTGGACAGGACTATGAATGCACAGCACTCTGCTGTCAGCTGTGGTGCACGGCAGAGCCCTAGAATTTGTTCTTCTAGCGTTACTGAAACTTTATAGATCATTAAACTTGATTTTGACCATGGGAAGTTCTCAAACTTTGGGAACTTTTATTTTCTTATTGTAAAATGGGAGCAGTACCATTTAACTCATAGAATGAATTGAAGATAAAATAATTTATGCAATGTGTGAGTCCAGTGAGTGGAAGAATGTAGTGACCCTGCACAGCTTACAGTTTGAGACTCCTCCAGCCCCACTCCCGCCCCACTCCCTCATGATGGCTCTGCACCCTCTGATGAGCCAGACGTTCCAGAAGGAGACAATGTTAAATTACATGATCACATGGAGGTGAAGGCTCAAGATGAGCCTTTAACGTTCTGTCATCAATACTGTCCCATTTGTAGGGACTGGAGATGTGGTCGCCAGGGGACAATGGCTCCTGGAAGAGAGCTGATTCCTGATATCATGGTAAGAGTGGAGTGTGATGGTTGAGGAACAGGCATGAGGCATGTCTGCAGATTCCAGAGGGTTCAAGTTTCGGGAAAAGATACTGAGCACCTGGAACCAAACTGGGGGTGATGGGTGGGGCTGGGACGAGAAAAACTGATAAGTTTTCAGAATGATTTTCAGGGTCAAAAAGAAGACGACCAGATATAACTAGAAAGCTGATTATTGCCAGCTCCAGAAACCTTCAGGTTGAGAAAGTGGCAGCATCTCTGACATAATTAGCAGGGAAGACAAGGAGACGCCTGGGCTGAGTGTGACTGTTCCATCAATACGGCTGTACAAGTCCAGTAGTAACGACAATTTCCCCCAGAAGTACAATAATAGCATTTCCCCCCGAAGTATGATAATAGCATTGCTTAATAATGACTTCTGCTTAGAAGGAATACCTCTGAGGTGCCGATGTAAGTGTTGCAGTACAGAGTTGAACCCACTCTTGCTTGGATGTGTGACTCCATTGATGTCATGACTCCCTCCCCTAACCAAGAGGCAGAGAAAAACTCAGAGAATAACTAAGGCACCTGAATCCTGAGGTTCAGACCAGTTGTCAGTGAAAAAACAACCCCAAGACATTTTCTCTCATTTAAAATTTTGTCCTTTTTTAGTTAATAAACTTTACTTTTTAGATCAGTAGGATTGACATCAATATTGAAAAGAAGCTACAGGGAGTTCCCATGTTCCCCTTGCCCCCACATCATGCACAACCTCCTCCCTCTATTAATATCCCACACCACAGTGGTACATTTGTTACAAGCAATGAAGCTGCACTGAAACATTATCACCTGTCAGTGTCCACGTTTACACTATGGTTCACTCTTGATGTTCTATATTTTATGGGTTTAGACCAATGTATAACGTCCTGTATTCACATGATAGCATGATACAGAGTATTTTTACAGCCCCTCATCCCCTGTGCTCTACCTATCCATCACTCCAACCAAGACCCCTGGCTCCTGCAGAGCTTTTTACTGTCTCCATAGATCTGGCTTTTCCAGAATGTGATGCAGTTGCAATCATACACTATGGAGCCTTTTCAGATTGACTTCTTTCTCTTAGCAATATGCATGTAAGTTGGCTGCATGTTTTTTCGTGGTTTGACAGCTCATTTCTTTTTCGTGCTGGATGCTAGTCCATTGCCTGAGTGTGCCATAGTTTGTCACTCATCTACTGAAGGACACCCTGGTTGCTTTCAACTTTGGGCAATCATGAATTAAGTTGCTATAAACATCTGTGTGCAGGTTTTGTTTGGACATGTTTTCAACTCCTTTGGGTAAATACCAAGGAGTGTGATTACTGAATTGTATGCTAAGAATATATTTAGTTTTTAAAGAAACCATCAAACTGTCTTCCAAAGTGGCTGCACCATTTTACATTCTCACCAGCAATGAATGAGAGTTCCTGTTGCTCCACATCCCCAGCAGCATTTGGTGTTGTCAGTGTTCTGGATTTTGGCCATTCTGATAGGTTTGTAGTGGTATTTCACTGTTTATATTTACATTTTTCTGATGACTTACGATGTGGAGGATTTTTTCATGTGCTTTTTGGTCATCTGTACATCTTCTTTGGTGAGGTGTTTTTGAAGTCCTTGGCTCATTTTATAATAAGGTTGTTTCTTTTCTTATTGTTGAGTTTTAGTCATTCTTTGTATATTTTGGATAGCAATCCTTTATTAGATGTGTCTTTTGGAAGTATTTTCTCCCAGCTTCTGGTTTTTTGTCTTACTTCATTCTAGTTGCTATAACAAACATACCATAAACTGGGTGGCTTAAGTAACAAACATTTATTTCTCACAGTTTGGGAAGGTGGCAAGTCCAAGATCAAGGACCTGGCAGATTCAGTCCCTGGTGAGGGGTCTCTTTATAAGGACTCTAATTCCTTTAATGAGGCCTGTGTTCTCATGACCTAAGCACCTCCCAAAGGCCCCAGCTCCAAACATCATCCTATTGGGGATTAGGTTTCAACATATGAATTTTAGGAGGAGAGCGACATTCAGTCTGTAAGCCCTATTTTTTCATTTTCTTGACTGTGTCTTTTGCAGAGTAGATGTTTTTAGTCTTGGTGAGGTCCATCTGGTCAATTACTTTTTTCATTGGTCATGCCTTTGGTTTTATGTCTAAAAAAGGCATTGCCAAACTCAAAGTCATCTAGGTTCTCTCCTAGATTATCTTCTAGGAGATTTACACTTTTGTGTTTCATATTTAGGTCTATGATCCATTTTGAGTTCATTGTTTTGAATGGTATAAGGTCAGTGTTTTTAGATTCACTTTTTGCTTGTGGATGTCCAATTGTTCCAGCACTATCTGTTGAAAAGACTTTCTCTTCTCCATTGTATTGTTTTTGCTCCTTTGTCAAAGGATTGACTATATTTATGTGGATCTATTTCTGGGTACTCTATTCTTTTCCATTGATCTATTTGCCAATTCATTGGCCATGCTGTCTTAATTATGGTAGCTTTGCATCAAGTCTCAGAGTCAGGTAGTTTTGGTCCTCTAATTTTATTCTTCCTCCTTCAATATTGGTTGGCTGTTCTGGGTGTTTTGCCTCTCCAATTAACTTTAGGACCATTGGAAAAACCCATAAAATAACTTGCTTGGCTTTTGATCGGGATTGCATTGAATCTACAGATCAATTTGGAAAAAACTAACATCTTGACAATATTGAATCTTCCTATCCATGAATATGACAAATCTCTTCAATTGTGTGGTTCTCTGATTTCCTTCATCAGAATTTTGCAGTTTTTCTCATATAGATCTTATACATATTTTGTTTCATTTATCTCCAAGTCTTTCACTTCTGGGGTGCTAATTTTAATGGTACCTTGATTTTAATTTCAAATCCCCTTGCTCATTTCTGGCATGTAGGAAAGTGATTGATGTTGTATATTATCATTTATCCTGCATTTATCCTCGTCATAATCACTTGTTAGTAACAGTTTTTTGTTACTTCTTTTTGACTTTCCACATAGATGATTATGTCATCAGCAAACAAACACAGTTTTATTTCTTCCCTCACAATCTGTATGTCTTGTATTTCTTGTCTTATTGCATTGGCTAGGACTTCCAGTGTGGTGTCGGAAAGCAGTGGTGGGATAGGACATGCTTGCCATGTTCCTGATCTGACGGGGAAAAGTTCAAGACTCTCAGCATTAAGAATGACTTTAACTGCAGGTTTTTTGTAGATATTCTTTATCAAGTTAAGGAAGTTCCTCTCTATTCCTAGTTTACTGAGATATCATCTCTCTCTCTTTTAATCATAAAAGAGATTCTTGTTAGGTCTGATGTCTCAAAGAATTGGGGTTTGTATCTATGCTGATATGGGAAAGAGAAGAGAGGTGAAAATGTTCCATAACTCCTTAATTGAATATTTGGCTAGAGGGGCAAATGAGCAGTGAAGAGTGCATATACATAAATTTATGCATTTATACATATTTAAGCATTTATATATACGTACATGTTTATATACTTGTATGTGTATTCATAAATACGTATACACAAACTCAGTTGTATAACTTATTGAAATACACTTATCTGCCTAAATGGCATGAAACAATAAATGTTCAAATTAACAGACATTGAATTTTTAGGAATTTAAAATTGAACTTGGGGTATAGCTCTAAATTCATCTATCCACATATGCCAATGGCTAGCCAAGGTTAGAATTTCTATCTGTCAGTTAAGAAAGAAAAGACTAAAAAAATGGCATGGAATTTGAAGAAAGGAAGAAGATTGTAGGTGTGACTGGCCCAAATGAAAACAAGGAATTGTCATGAAAAAGGACACCAGCTATATTGTGTCTTACAATGCCTATCCTCTGTAGCAATTTAAGTATCAGATGGACTGTAGTTAGAAAAATAATCAAAATGTTTCAAGAGTGAACTTATTAATACTAAATAGAGCTAGCAGTTCTAATTAGTTCAAATTGTGCTTATTTACATCTGGGCTAGACTTTTTCTCTATTCATTAATAAATGATTCTATTTAAATATGCATATAGACTGCTGAAAAGTGGCTGAAATGTATTTTTGAAGGAAAGAATTACAGTTCCCAAGAATTGCCAGCTTGATGCATCAGACCTCACGCCATGTAAGCTAAACACACCTTCCCTTTTTCATTTCTGCCCATGTTGCTGAGATGGGGAATCAGAGCACCGTGGCACGATTTATCCTAAAGAGTTTCTCAGATGACCCCACTGTGAATGCTGTCTGCACCGGCTGTCTCCTGGTCACCTACGCCTTTGGGGTCCTGGCGAATATTGCTGTCATCACAGTGATTACCAAGGACGGCCACCTCCATACACCCATGTATTTCTTCCTAAAGAGTCTGTCCTTTCTGGATGTGTGCTACACCTCGGTCACCATGCCCAAGGCCATTGTCAATGCCATCCTGGGTTCTCAGGAGATTTCCTTCCTAGAGTGCGCTGTTCAGCTCTACTCCTTTTTCACCCTGGCAGCCACCGAGTGCTTCCTGCTCACGACCATGGCCTATGACCGCTGCATGGCCATCTATAGGCCCCTTGTCTATGGGGTCACAATGAGCAGGAAGCTCTGCTGGGAGCTGGTTTCCACCGCCTGGATTTGTGGGGCTCTCTATTCCATCTTCCATGCCATCAACACCTTCTCCCTGCCTTTCTGTGGACCAAATGTCATCGATCACTTTTTCTGTGACATACCTCCTGTCATGAGGCTCTCCTGTGTTGACTATCACACAAATGAAGAAGTGAGTTTCATTTATACCAGCTGCATCATCCTGGGAGCCTGTGTTCTCACCCTGCTCTCATACCTTCGCATCATCTCCACCATCGCCAAGATCCAGCAGGTGCAGGGCCGCTGGAAAGCCTTCTCCACTTGCTCTTCTCACCTGACCACTGTTCTCCTGTTTTATGGAACTGGGAGTTCCCTGTACCTGAGACCTACCTCTGACTATTCTCCCATCCAAGCGCGGCTGGCTGCTGTGTTTTACTCCATCATCACACCCACCTTGAATCCTCTCATCTATTGTCTGAGGAACAAAGAAATGAAAGTAGCTCTTGAGAAAGTGTTCCTTCAACTACAGAGAAGAAAAGCGTAAGAGCTTATGTTAAGGTACCTTCTTCCACAGTGTCTAAAATCAATCCGCTTGAGAAGTAAAAATACAAATACTTGATAGATTTGAAGTATACATATTTGTTGAAGGGATGCAGGTTTTTTGAGATATTTTAATATAGGTTTGCTAGTAACATCTAGATACACTTATACTTTACTATCAAGTACATTCACCAATGTGGTATCACATACATTTTTTTCAATGTAGAGAGATCTATTGTGGTTTTTAAACTACCATTCAAACCATTAGAAAATAATCTAAAAACGCGAAAGTTCCTCATTTCCAGAAGGAGGACATTATAGGTCAAGGCCATTAGAGTGAAGTCATGGGAAATAAATCAGTATTAAAGCACAAACAATGAAGTGAGTTTGATTAGGTATTCATCTGGTAAATAAATCTTGAAGTAGGAAAATATGTTTTTATCTGTAGAAATGTAGGGTTATACTAACAACAATAAATGTTTTTCTTTATATGTCCTTGAAATCCACAGAATATTCCGTAGCTGTGCTTTGTCTTTGGAATCAGACTCCAGTGTTAGGCAGTTCAACTGGCTCATCTGTTCAATTACAAAATAGTAGAATGAGGCTCTTTCCTTCTGCGTAATCCTCCACCGTTAACGTGTGGCTTTTGTCCCCATGTGGTTTATGCAGCTCTCCACAGGTCTACCACATTCTATGTGGATAGAGTGTAGGATGAAATGGAAGAATTTGCCTCATGACAGCTTGCCTAAGTTTCCTCCATCTCAGGCACATCCTTACAGAGAAGTCAGCCATAAGTCAACCTAGAGATGCAGGAAGGCTGAGGGACTGAATGTGTTGTTCACAAATGAGGGAAAAAGAAGATGACTGTTTTCAAACATTCCTGGAATATTTTCATGTTTGTCTTAATCTGGGAAAGCATTTATTTAAAGGAGTCTCAGATCTGATGCATATATAACATATTTTGGAGAAAAAAAACATTGAAAAATAGATAACCAAAGGATTTACTTTATGTTACTACTGGGTAATAGCAAAGCTAGTATGTTACAGAATGTTGTATAAATAAGTAATCAGAAGAAAATTACCCAAACGGGCTCCTATCAAAAGATGTTATTTGGTTTTTTTAACCACAAAATAAGAGATGTTCATCGCGCTAGAACTTCAAAATTTTTTCCTGTAGTCATGTAAAATTTTCTCCCAGAATCTTCCCAAGAACTTTCCTCAGTGCCCCCTTAACCTCTTTGTTCCTCAGAGTATAGATAAGAGGGTTGAGCATGGGGGTGACCACAGTGTAGCAGAGGGAGACAAACTTCCCCTGGTCCTTGGATCTACTCTTGGCCGGCTGCAGATACATGAAGGTGATGGTTCCATAGAAGATGGTGACAACCATCAGGTGGGAGGAACAGGTCCCAAATGCTTTCCTTCTTCCAGTGGTTGACTTGATCTTCAAAACTGCCTGGGCAATGTAGCCATAGGAGACCAAGATTAAGGAGACAGGCACTATAAGGAACAGAACACTAGCCACAAAGAGCTCAGCCTCATTGAAAGTGGTGTCCACACAGGCCAACTTGATGAGCACAGGGACTTCACAGATGAAGTGATCCACTTGGCGATGCCCACAGAAGGGGAGCTGCAGGGTGAAAGTGGATTGTATGAGGGTGGTGGCCACTCCACTGAGCCATGCCAAAGTTGCCAGAGCTATGCAGAGACACGGATGCATCAAGGCAGTGTACTGGAGGGGGCGGCAGATGGCGACATAGCGATCGTAGGACATCACAGCCAGGAGGACACACTCAGTAGAGCCTAGGGCAAGGGAGACATAGAGCTGAACCACGCAACCACCATAGGTGATGGCTTTCATGGGATCCCACAAGTTTACCAGAAGCTGGGGAATAACACTGCTGGTAAAGCAGAGGTCCAGGAAGGAGAGATGAGAAAGGAAGAAATACATTGGTGTATGAAGCTTGGGCTCCACATGAGATACCAGAATGATGGTGGTGTTCCCCACAATGGTTAGTAAATACAAGATCAAGATGACCACGAATAGAGGCTCCTGTAACTGAGGATAATCAGAAAACCCCAACAGGATAAAGCCTGTCAGGCTGCTGTCATTGGTACTCCTCTCCATCGCCATGTGCACAGTATGTTCCAGAAACCTGTGTCGTAACTGAGAAAGATGACATTTTACATAAGGTCAAATGAGTGACATCACCTCCCTCCAAATTATTCTATGTTCAATGCTTAGAACCTATGTCTTTACAACTAGTGACTTCAATACGTCTCGTTTCCCATTGTGTGCATTCTAAATAAGTGTAGTGCACACCCTCTCAGTGTCTTAGCTGTCCTCTGATGCTCTCCAGGCAGAGAAGGGCAGACACATTAAAAACACCATCATCAAGCCACAGTAATTAAAAGAGTATGGTATTGGCATAAAGTAAACATAGAGTCCAATGGAGCAGAATAGAGATGATGAACGCACTCATATACAGCCCACTGATCTTCCACAAAGGCGTGAACAGTACCCAGTAGGGAAAAGCTAGACTCTTTAATGAATGGTCGGGAAAACTGAATATCACTGTACGAAAGGATGAAATTGGATCCCTGGCTTTCACCATACACATAAATGAACTGAAAGTGCACTGAAGACTCTGTGTAAGATGTGAAACTTGAACTCCTAGAGGAAATATGGAGGAAGGCTTCCTGACGTTGGTCTTGGCAATGATTTTATGGACATGACACCAAAACCACAGGCAACAAAAGCAAAATTTAGGAAATGGGATAAAATATTTGTAAATCATAACCAGTAAGATGATAATATCCAAAATATATTAGGAATTCCAAAAACTCAGCAGCAAAAAAAACAGAAAACCCAATTAAGAAGTGGGCACTTGAACAGACATTTCTCCAAACAAAACATAGGACTATCCAAGAGGTACATGAAAAGGTGCTCAACATCACCAATCATCAGGGAAATGTAAATGAAACTGCCATGAGTTACCAGCTCACATCTGCTGGGATGGCAGCTCCCAGAAAATAAAAGACAGCAAGGGTGGGTGAGAATGTGGAGAAATTAGCATCCTGTGCAGCATTGACAAGAAGGTAAAATGACAGCCACTGTGGAAAACAGAATCAACAGGCCTGAAAAATTGAAAATAGAACTACCATATGATCGAACAATCCCAGCTCTGGGTATAAATTCCGAAAAATTGAAATCAGCATCTCCAAGAGATCTACTCATTCCTGTGTCAATTGCAGCATTATTATAATAGCCAGTCTAAGTGTCCCCCTATGGATGAGTGAATAAAGAAGATGTGGTATATCATTCAGCATAATTAATAGCATGCTATTAGAATATTAATGGAATATTATTCAGTCTTAAAAAAGAAATGAATCCTGCATTATGCAACAAAATGGATGGACCTTAAGGGCATTATTATAAGTAAAACAAGCCAGAGAAGGACAAATGTGCCCCTTATATTAAGTATGTAAAATAGTCAGACTTATAGAAGCAGAGAAGGGAATGGTGGTAACCGAAGATGGGAGGAAGGGAAATGGAGAGTGGCTCAGGGTTGTAAATTACAGCTCTACAAGATGAACCAGTTCTAGAGAGCTGTGCTCCAACGTATTGCCTATATGAAACAATATATTCAATTTAAGTGTGTTAAAAAAGAAAATGTGATGTGTTCTTCCCTCACACACACACAGAGGAAAGGACACACGGAAGCTTTGGAGGTGGTGGATAGAATGATTACCTTTTTTGTGGTGATGGTCTTACTGGCATGTGCACATGTCTGGACTCATCATTGGTACACATGAAACAGCTTAGCAGTTTTTTGTGTATCAGTTATACCTCAAGAAAGCTGTAAAAAAAAAAAGGGCACCACCATCTGTTGTAGGAAATAAATGAAGCCATCATTTCCATCCAACCAATTTTACCCCTTTATGTTACATCTCTCTGGTTACAGAAAAGGCGGAAACTCAGTTAATTCCAACTAGAGAATAAAAGGCTGAGGTTTTATTTAAGCAATCTTCAATGAAAGGGGAATAAATCATTTGTCAGCGCCCAGAAAGAGTAGAAATTAGTATTGTTTACCTTTCTGCGATATGCCAGATTTGATTGGCATTCATTAAAAATCTACTCCTGAGAGCTTATGTGACCCAGTCAAAGACTCATACACTAAGAAAGTATTTAAGGCAACACTTGAATCTATTCCTTATAGCAGACCCCATGCTCCAGGTAGTTCTGCACTTTCTTTCTCCTTCCTTCCCTCAGTGTGTGTTTGTTTTATTTTTTCTTACTCTTTTTTTCAGAGGTCCAGGATCCTCCATGTTCCAAAACCAGTTTTTAGGAAATTAAATGTATCCATATGATTTTAGGTTTTTTTTTCCCTGGAATCATTTGCATTTTATCATCAGTTCAGAGAGTGGATGCAAAATGTATTTCCTGTTTTGGAGGCAAGTACTTAAGGGGATGTTTGTTTCCATTAATGATGTTACATCTGATTTATGCAAAGATACTACTCCGAAGCTAGTAATTATAGCTTCATTATAAAAAGGCCAGTCCATCCTTTATCCCCACACTTACCAAGGAAACTTCCCTCAGTAAAAATTGGTCTTCAGTATCATTTGCTTGCAAGCCTTTGTTCTTGGTTATATGGGAACCTCGCTAAGGGATTACTTGTTTATTTGACTAAGCTGTGTACGTGTCTCTGTACACATGTACATTGTGAGATTCGTGAGGCCAGAGGTCACATATGATGTGAATTTGCAGCCCCTTGCCCTGAGTGTGTTCACACACAGTAGCCTCTCAACAATTGCTCAGCTGTCCACATATTACATTCCTCGTTTAACCTCTTTCAGTCTCCCTGCAGACTCCCACATCTCTAGTCAACCAGTGGGTGGTAGGCTTGGTTACCATATGAGTGTGTGAGGAGGCCTGACCCGTCTTCCTCCAAACTGGGGCTGCTCAGACTCACGTGATCCTGCTTCTGTTTGAACCTGGCTGCATGTTGAAAGTGTAGGAGTGAGAGGGGTTTGTCCTGTGGTAGCTACGAGTTGTGGCCACACACGGCGCTCTTCCTGGTTTTGATGAACTCCACCCCAATCTTCTCATTACAAAATGAAACACTCTACAACGTTCTCATCAGGATTTTGTCCTTTCCCCTCGTTCTTTCCCAGTAAGCAGCCTCACACATTTTAGGTCTATCACTAACGCAAATGCATGTCTATCGCAAAAACAAATGTTTCCTTTTCAAATTTCTTATTTTGAAGTAAACACTGTGCAGCATTAACCATAATTAGTTCTCTCTTTGTCACTGCATGTCACTGCCCTGCAAAGTGTCCCCCGTCAATAGTTGGTGGCCCCCAAATCAC